ATTGTCCCCACAGCTTTGGAGGGCACAGGAACCTCCACTCTTTGCATTTCATTGCATGATATTTAATGATAATAATAGTAATAGTTGTAGTAATAATAATAATGATAATGATAATGATAATGATAATGATAATGATAATGATAATTCACTATTATATGGATGAACCACTTAGCACTTGAAACATTGCTTTGTATCTGGATTTATGCTCTTTTTTAAGTTTAAAAGGCACTCAGCACAGAGGTGGTGTTGTTGAAGATAAACCAGATCAACCTTCTGGTCCCCACCGTTTTGTCCTGGGATTGAAAACCCCATGAAACACAGCCCAGCCCCAAAATTTATCAAACTGCCTTAAACCTACAGGGTGGTTCAAGCAATGTGTGATGATTTAAACCACTGAGTGCTTGGGATGACATGGGCACAGCAAATCGTGGTTCAGTGTTTAACACCCACCCAAACCTGCCTAAAAAGGATATTTCTGCTGCCTTCATGCTGCAGGTCCAAGGGCAAAGGATGCAGCTGCTCATTCTGGTGGACCAGGAGCTGAGGGCAGAATCCATCCCTGGAGCATCAGCTGAGTACTTTCAGCAGTGACTCCAAGTCACCAAAAAGTCCCTGACTGGTTTCTTCCCCTCAAGCCGAAGGTTTTATTTGAGGCCTGACTGGAAGCAGATGGACCTGTCAGGGCTCCTCAGGCAGGTGAGCAGAGCGGGTGGATGAGCTGTTAAGTGTTCCCAGATGCTGGGCAGGGCCCCGAGGAAATTGTTGGAGCTGGGACCCAGCTCCGAGGTGAGATCTGGAGCCAGCGCCAAGAAGGAAAAAGCTAATTTCTCCAAAACACCATTCTCTGAAAACCTGAAAAGGCAAGGCTTTTGAAATAAGAAAAAATAGCTGAAAATATCTGCAAAATATATCCAGTATATCTTCAGACTTCAGAGAGCCAGAAGTCATCCTTAGCTCCTGCCCCCATCTCTGGTTTTGTTCAGGATCTGCCTCCTTAGGCAGCAAAAATTATTTTTCCTAAGTTTTCTCCCTATCGCTGGTGTTCCCTCTCCAGAAAGGTCTTGACTTTTACTTGCTGCTTTGTGCTGTTTGATTTATAAGCTCATGGGGTCCTTCTCAAAACCTGGACTCCTTCTTGTACTTAATTGCTACAATAAACTGAAAACTTGGTGCTTTAGGAGCAGCAGTCTGGGAGGAAATGGTTTGATGGATGGAAGTAGACGATAGGTCCTTCTCGGGAATGTCACCAAAAGGACAAAGCGGAGAAATGGCTTTATAAATAACTGCAAAATTCAGAAAGTCCACGAGCTTGGGGAGACCAGAGGTCTGTTAAGCACAAACAGCTTGCAGGGCAATTCCCAACATCTGCAAAAGTCCTCTCAGCCCCTGTAATTCCCAGCAGCCTCGACTGCTGCATCCATCGGCATTCACTCCCCGGGGCCGGAGGTCTGGGATGCCATGGAAAGGGATGCCTGGAGTTTGCATCCCAAAATGCAAATAAACCAGTGAAAGAAGAGGTGATTAACAAGTCAGAGCTTTTATTTACATTGTGAGGAAGGTGCTTTTCCTTCTCCTTTTGGAAATTAATTTATAAAAAATAATTCTTAATGTTTTAAAAGCTATTTTTCCCAGGGGATGCAGTGTTGGTGGAGCACAGAGCAGGCATGGATGGAGTTCCTGCATGTTCCAAGCAATGCCATGGTTCCTGTCATAGCTCCAGTGACACAGCAGTAAAGAAAATTATAAAATTCATCCAGAAAATGCCAAGGAATGTGGCTTTGCTTGTGGCACTGCAAAGTGCAGCTCCAGTCACTAAGTGCTTGTAGCACAATCCCACAGGAGTTGTGAATGCATCCCCCTGCACCCAAAACCCAAAATCCATCTGGGATGGGCGCGTCACCATGGCACCAGCGATTTTATAATTATCTGAACCTCTCCTTTAGCTTCCTGAGCTGTTTTATGAGTCACCACAGATGTTGTGTGTTCTGGGGGACAACCAGACACCCAAAACAAAGAGGAAAGGGCACGTAAATATTGTGGCCTCATCTGTTTCCAATAGGCTGTGTTTACATATTAATGTGCAATACAAATTTGTAAACATGAGCATTTGAAACTTTTGGAGGAACCGATCCCGGCCTTTTCCCTTTCTGCAGCTTTATTGGAACAACATGTCCCCGGCCCCAGCCACACATGGACATGGTTTCCATACTGGATGCATTTCAAATGGTCTGGGTGCTTATTTGTTCTGCTCTATCTTGCTATCCAATCCTCGTTTGCTTTGCATAATTGTGATACAAATTATCATCTAATTACAGCCCCAACCTCAGCAGATCAAATGTAAACCGAGGCACTTCCATCGCAAAAAGCGACATCCGATGCTCCCTCCATGCCTTTGGCTTCTCCAATAGATGGATTAAATTTGGGTGAAACCAGAGAGTAAACTGCACTTTGATTAAAAATATTATTGCCGAATATTCTGTCTCCTTGGATTTTAAATCCACCCCCGTGTCTGAGCACCAAGCCCATCCCATGTCCCGGCGCTGGGCACGGACACGGCACCTCTGGACTGGCGGATTTTACGTGATGAGTGCTACAAACAGGCTCAGATATTCCCAAATAACTTCAAACTCCTCTTGCGAAAGGTCAAATGACTAATAGCTGAGATTGTTCAGCAAGTTTCATCTTCTAAAAAAACCCTTTGTTTTTCTCCCTGTTCCCATTTAAAAATAGCACTGTAATCCTGAGGTGCTGTTTGTATTTGCCCACTAAGTCCGAAGAATTGTGAACTTTGAAATGGCCACGAGTTTTCCTATAATATTTGTGGCAAGAAATACAAAGCATTACATGATGGAATTGTATTGACAGGCACAAGGGCTTGCTTGAAATGTCGACCTTAGTTTGCCCAGTTTCACATTTAATAAATCATATTGATTAACCTGATTTATTCTCTTGAGTTCTGCCACTCATCTCCCACTAGCAGCTGTTTTACAAAGGACCCCGAGAGTGCAGAGTGCAGGTTAGCTACTTTTGGGGGCACATTTATTTTAATATCCATGCAAACCCATCTATTTTATAGTGAGACTGAATCAGCTGAGTCACCATTGTGGATATGGAAAATATCCCTATGCCAGAAGGGCCAGGGAGCTCGGTCTGCTCTGAGGTGGCCTTGGTGGCACAGAGAGCTTGAAAACACTACCCAAATCCTTTTTATTTCTTAGGCTTTATTTCTTTCCTTTTGGAAGGATAAAAGCAGGAGGCGAAGGCAAAGAAAATGGAAATAACCCTCAGATAACCTGAATCAAGCCATGCCTCTCACGACGTGCTGATCTCTCACTCAGACAAATTGATATTTTGAAATATCCATTTGCCTGATGAGCACCCTCCCAAAGTGTGGCACCCCTGGGACAGGCTCAGACCTTGCAGGGACCGAGCTCTGGGTGTGTTTCCATGTGGCTGCAATGAGGGAGGGTGGCGAAACCTGGGATCCTACGGGACCCACGGAGGCGCTTTGAGATCCAGCTCAATTCCACTGGAATCTGCCGAGCATCATTCCTGGTGCAGCAAATCACTGCACCAAAAATATCTCTCCCAGTCATTATCAGTCACATTTTTAACCAGACACTGATTTACTGGATTACAGCTCATGGCCAGCAACTCTGGAATATCTTATGCAACCGCAAATATTTGGAAAATTGGAAGTTCCCTGTTGCACAAATCCGTGACTGATCAGGAAGAGCCTTCCAGCTCCCCAGGAGTGCAACCACATGTGGGGGCTGGGTCGTGGTCACTCAGCTGGACAGAGCCCGGCCAGGGCCAGCAGTGGACTTGCCATGGGAATTCAGTCACCACCAATGCTGGAAATAAGGACTCCCAAGGAAAAAAAAACAACCACTTTTTCTTTTTTTAATAAAAATAGTGAGATAAACTGCTAAGAAACAGCCCAAGAAAGCAGGTTTGTTCATTTTTACAGTTGTACAGACCATTTATCACAATCCCCCATTTCATACTGCCATCACTGGGGGCTCTGTGAACACCCACATCAGGAAAATTAGGGAAACCAATGTTGTCTGAATTTTATCAAAGTCTCATGAAACTAAAAGTATAATTTTTGTTAATTTAGCAGCTTTTGATATTGCTTGTTCTGATCTGAATTTGTTATCTGTTCAGGATGCAAATAAAATCAAAACTCTAGTATCAGTTTTGATTCTTAAGCCTGTGCCTAATCCCTCTATATTGTGTGTTGTGCTTGAAAATATAGGATTAATCCCAAAATAGGGCTGGTCCCAACCAAGCCTTATTTTCCAATCTCTGCCATCTATCAAGTGATAAATTTGACTGTAGGTAGAGACTGAACATCAATCAAATGAAGAATAAAACCTGTGTCCTGATTTATTGTGAGTTACATGGCACCCTTGGGAGCTGGAGATTATTTACACGAATAACAAGAATATCCACAGGTTACAAGAAAACAAACATGAATTTTGGAAGAAATTGAAAATTTCATGTTCCAAGGCCCGTAGAATTGTAATTCTCCACAAAGGTTCTTTGTTCTCTGTGGGACTGATCCAGGAACATCCCTGCCCCTTCCCTTGGGCAAGGCTGGATGAGATCCCACTTGGATCTTCTGTGTCCCTTGGGGCTGAGAGCTCTGGGTCACAGCATTGTCCTGCAGGGCTCCTGGGGGAGTTTCATCCCACACAACTCTCCAAGATGTATCCTCCATGTCCCCAGCATGGATCCATCTCACCACAGGAGAGATGCGTGACCCCATCCTGTCCTTCCCACCACGCCATCAATGCTGGTGCCACTGGAGAGTGGGACATGGAAAAGAGGGATCTGGGCCACCTCTCCAGCTTCTCACCCCTTCCATCTTTCATCCTGCTTTTCTGTACCCTGGCAGCAGATACTTGGATTTAAGGTACTTGGATTAATGTCCCCACCCTGATAACGGAGGCATCTGGGTCTTGGAGAATGAGGGACTTTTATGTCATTAATTAGGACCCATTAGAGCCAAGAGAACTTAAGGACAAACTCAAGTGCTTGGCCAGATGTGGCTCCTTTGCCAAGTCCAGGTCCTGGATAGTCCCTTTGAAATTAGGGATAAAACTTGAGTGGGTGAGCAGCAGCTCCCCAGGGCTCTGAGCTAACTAAAGGCAAGCAAGAGAGAGAAAACAGAGCTCTAGAAATACAGACATCAATGTCCCCACTTGGCAGTGCAAATAGTAAAAAGGTGACTGACAGTTTGCTCTTAACCTACAACTGTGACATAAATGTGGTGAAAAGGTACCACCCCAGGGTCATCTCAGACCCTGCCAGATCCTCCACCCTCCCAACAACACAACCCTTCTGTTCACAAAATAAAAGGATTAAATGCCTGCCCATCCTGCTCCTGTACCATGCAGCATTTCAAAGTCAACAACTAACAAGCCCCTGGCTATGGAAGGACTTGCTTTACACAACTCAGAAATATTCTCTGATCCCACTAAAGGCAGTGGTTAATTGTGGGGTGCCAGTTGGAGTGATTGCATCTGCCGTCCCTCAAAGCAGCCGGAATGCTGTCACTCACTTTGAAATGCCCTGCTGCATTCATCAGTCTGGATGGCACAGAGAAGTTATAACCATACAAGCCATATGGAGGATGTAAAGAACAATTAAGTGCTTCCCGAGCAATGGGACTTGATGGGAAAATGTTTCCAGATGCATGTAATCCATACAGCATTTGACCAGCAGGACCGGGGGCTTGTAGGCACTGAGCGTTTAAGTCTTCGGCTTTGGCGTTTTTCAGGGAAGACAGTTTGGGCACATCCACCATGAAGTGGGGTAAAAGGTGTGGGTTGGTGGCTCCCAGCTTTTCGTGGCTGGGAAGGAGGAGCGCCTGTTGTCTCAAGAAGCTCGTGGGGCAGATCTTGTAGTAGAGGGGCACGTTGAGGGGGTGCAGGAAGCTCTCGGGGCACGACATGCCCAGGTTGCTCGCGGGCAGGTGAAGCGAGGGAGGGGAGCACGATGGAGAGAGCAGGGGGTTCAGAGGAGAGGGGGTCCCACCGCTGGAGGCCACTGGAGAAGAGCTGGAGCTCCCACCTGGAAATGAAAAGAGAAATTATCCAGGCTGGGCTAACTGCTGTCCACAGCCAAGCAATCCTTGGAGGACTCCTGCTCCTGCTCCAGGTCTCCCTGCTGCCGGTGTCCGTCCAAGCACAAACCTGCTCCAAGGACCAGCTCCTAGAAAATGGGAAGATCTATCCATAAATGGTTATTGCTAGCTGATATTTGTCTAATAACAATATTTACACGTGTCTAATCCCATTCCTTACACTGGGATCGTGGTAAATGCAGCTCCACACACACCTGGATCCGTACCTGGCTGCACGACCGATAACCCTCCCCTGCTATACCCACACCATTGCCATTTCAGGTTCCCTATTTTTCATGCAAATTCCAGACAGCTTTTTCCCCTTGGATATAAGAACAAAAAAGCATATTCAGCCCGATGGAGAATTTTTTGTACCTTCCTGCTCACAGGAATTGACTCATTTCACTTGGCTTCCCAAGCAATTTGAAACATTCCCCTGAATGCTATCGGTGTCTCCAGAAATTTAAACTCACAGGTCATGTGAACGTCCTCCTTTCTGGAAGGGATGAATGAACACTTTCAGAATTTGGGAGAAAAGCAACCCCAAGGAGTAAAAATGAAGCAGGGACGGGATGGCTGCTCCGAGGTGGGAATGGTGCTGGGAGCAGCCGGCCCTGGTGCTACACAGATGCTGGTTTCATCTCCTGCCTGGGGAGAGCCAAATGTCTGCTGCACACTCATTACCAAATTCTTCCAGAGGGTTTCCCCCTCCCCCACCCCCTTTATTTTAATTTCTTACTAAAATCACTGGGAAAGAATGTAAAGGAATTTGTGCTACTATTTACATTCAATTCCTACCAATACAATGCCTGGCTGGGATCTGATCCGACCTGACACACAACCAGAGACCCAAAATCAACAGAAAAACTGAGCCACGGCTGCTGATATAGCAAATCTTAAAAACACCTTAAAAACACAAAGATTTCGAATGTGATGCAAATTAATTTCAAACTCCCAGCAAGCAGAGCCTCTCACAGGCCACCCCTGGATCACAATAACCTGGGAAGGTTTGGTGGCGTGAAGGTCTCACCCTTCTCTGCTGATGGCAGTGGCTGCTTCAGCCCTGCCATCAGCAGGGCAGGATCCAGTCCTCTCTCCATGGACATATCCTGGTGTCCTCCAGGGCTCAGGGACTTTGGGTCACGTAAAATTTGGGACTGAGCTGATATTTGTGTGTGAGGCAGCGAGCGAAGCCCTGTGTGTCCGGAGACAGCAGAGCAAAGCAGGGTCAGTATCTGCTGCACGGAGAAAATAACATCACATCCCGAGCAATAATCTCACCCAAATTCCACAGCAAGTTTGGGAATGGGGGTTGCAGCAGACACGATGGAGCAGATCAATGAGCAGGTGTTTTCTACCCTTTCTATTAGGCTTAAAAATAAACGTTCTATGGCCAATTTTTTCTTCAGCATGTTGATCCTAATTCCTTTTAATTTACCTCCCGGTTTTAGAGCTTTGGGATTTCAGTTTTACAGCTTTTCTTCATAAATATATTTTATTAGTAGTAGAACTTCAGATTTTGTTATATTTATATCAGTCCAGGAATTCTGTCCTGAAGAAAAATACCAAATACATTAAACAAGAAAAAAAATCCAAAAATCCCAGGTAGCTGTAATATTGTATGTACAACAATATTTTAGCGTCCCTAACATTGCAGTTGCTGTTGTTTCATTTCTCATGCAGCTCATCCACCACCTCCTCTCTCCCGGCAAACGGGCTCAAAAGGAGCTTTTTGCATAAGATATTTTCTAAAAGCAAAATTAATAAAAAACCTATTAATAATACTAACAAAGCTGCTGTTACTACCACCATCAATTAATGATAATAATTTTAGTTCCTTTTACAAGTGATAAACCTCTTCATTTCTCCCGAATCTGATTTTTTGTGCCCTCATTTCTACGCCTGCAAAACATAAATTTTTGCTGTGATTTTAGCAGCATTTCCCGGCAGACACATGGGTGACTTGGTGTGTCCCAAAACTTTGAAGAGTTCCTGACATAAACGAGAATTTAACTCGCGACTTTAAACCTAATTTGGAGGGCTGCAACGTGCGAACGAGCTGTTAGTTTTTTCCTTTCGGCGCTATGAACAATCTGTTTTCAAATACTACTTTCTGAAGCCGTTTTTCTGGGAAAGGGCTGTAAAGGACCGGTTGCTCTTGTCAGGATGAAGGAGAGCATTTTCCCCGAAAATTTTCCTCCTCTTCTTTGCGTTTCTGTGCCACTTCTGCATCCCAAATACCAGACAATTTTCTTTTCTGTTGCATAACGCATTTGTCGGCGCAGAAGCTGCCGCTGCAGAAAGCACGGGCGGTCACCACTGCCACGTTTGTAGTTGATATTCCCAACCCGGTTGGAAGCAATTAGTGTAACAGGATCAAAGCCGGAACAGCCCGACTCCAAATTAGCCTCCTGCACACTCAGATATTTTTTTCTGCCCGTCTAACTCTGATTTCAGCCCGCGCCCTCATCCTGCTCTTCCCGGCTTCTCGCATCCATTTTCACAGGAGTTTCATCCCAACCAAGGCGAAATTAACTCCCCCGAAAGCAGGGATTCGTTTTGTGGGCGCGCAAAGATAACCATCGTTATCTTTGATGGTTCGAGCCGCCCGCGGAGCCCCGCGGGGAGCTCGGGGCGTGCGGCTGGGAGAGGCGGCGAGCGGGATCCACTTACCCTGGCTGTCTGCGCCGAAAGCCTTGAAGTCCAGGGCGAGGGGGGGTCTCCACGGGTAGGTCTCCAGGAGCCCGTCCAGGACCCCCCTGCGGGGCAAGAGCTCACTGAGCGCAGCCGCGGGGCCGGCGGGCGCGGGGGGCGGCGGCGGGGCGGCCCCGGCCCTTACCTGTTCCTGCCGGGGTCCCGAAAACCTTTGGCGAAGGGATTCCTGTCGATCTTCAGCTTCGTGATCTGCAGGGCGAAATCAAGGGGACATTGGCGAGCGGGGCGGGCTGGGAGCGGCGGCCGCGGCCATCGGGGCTCGGCATCCCCCCAGGCTCCCGGTACCACCGGGGCTCTTGCATCCCCCGGCTCCCAGTACCGCCGGGGCTCTGCATCCCCCCGGCTCCCGGTACCGCCGGGGCTCGACTCCCGGTACCACCGGGCTCTCCATCCCCCGGCTCCCGGTACCTGCTGGTTCTGGTAGGCCGTGACGGTGGTGAACTCGGTCTCCTGGAAGGAGAAGGTCTGCACCCCCTCGGCCGGCAGCGACTGGATCTGCGCTAGATCGAAGCGAGAGTCCTGGGCGATAACGTGGACGCGGGGCTTGTACTTGTGCATGGACTGCAGGATGATCTGTGCGGGGGGACAGGCGGCTGAGCCCCCCCGGAGGGAGAAGGGCAGAAAGAAAACCCGAGGCGAGGCTCAGGAAGGACCCAGCCCTGTTATCCAAGGCAGGAGGGACCATCCCCCGCCTTCCCGGCGCTGCCCCCCGGCTGATGCTCCGCGCCCCGGGGCGATGCTCTGCCCCTCCCCGGCCCCCCGGCGGGGCTGCCCCACACCTACGTGCCCCTTGTCGTCCATCTCGTTGTTGGTGAGCTTCACGCGGTCGAAGCTGATGATTTGCCTCATCCAGGTCTCCCCCGAGCAGGGGGAGTCGGGGTGGATGTAGAGGCGCGGGGTGATGCAGGAGTGGTCCGTGTTCCCCGCCACCATCCACTGCGAGCTGTGATACACGTACCTGGCCCGGGCCGGCCCGCGTCAGCCGCGGGGAGCCCGTGCCCACCTGCCCCACACCTATAGATTCTATAGGTGAGTGCAGGCCCCCCAGCACGCTGTGTGACCGCCGTGCCCCGCTCGGGTGGCAGATCGCGGCCATCAGCGCGGGACGGGCCCCGCGGGGCTGGGGGTCCCCGCCCGTCCCCCCGTACCTGTATCGTTTGGAGTCCACGGGCACGACGTCGATGGCGATGTAGTATTGCTGCAGCGGCTCCAGCCCCTTCACCTTCACCCGGACGGACGGGAACATCCTCCTGCACAGGGCACAGGGACAGCGGCTGAGCCAGAGCTGCCCTCGCGGGGCCCAGAGGGGCCGCGGGGCTGGGAACGGGCGTCGGGAGAAGGGAAATCCAACTCAACGAAAATAGCGGAAAAAGGGGCGAGCAAAGGGAAGTGTCTTAACAGGACAGAGAAACCCGGGACAACGAAACAAAAACAAAAAAAAAAGCTCAAGAAACAACATCATCCACCCACCAAAAACAAAAACAAAACAAAAGTAAAGGAAAAAAAAAAGAATAAAAGAGAGAGAGTAAAAATAGAAGGGAAAAAAAGGTAAAAGGAGAAAAAAAAAAAGAAAGAAAACCAAAACGGAAAGGCAAAGCCCGAGCGAGGCGGCGGGGGGCCGGCCCGTACCTGCCGGCCTTGGTGATGATCATCTCGGTGCCGATGTCGTGGAACCTCCTCCAGAGCTCGGAGCCCTGCAGCTCCACCTGCACGCCGCCCGCCCGGCTCTCGGCACCGGCCTTGGGCCGTTTCTCTGCGGGGAACACAAAGGGCAGGGCTGGGGAGGCTGCCGGGGCCGGCCCTCGCCCCCCGCCGCTCCGGTACCCACCCGCCTCCGGGGCTCTGCGAGCCGGCCGGCAGCCGGGGCCGGGCTCCTCATCGCGGCCCTCCGGCACCTTCCTCTTGGCCGAGCGTCCCACCAGGGCTTCCACCGAGAAGGCGTGAGCCCGGGAGCTGAGCGCCATCCCCCCCGGGCTGCCGGGGGTCCCCGCGGGCGGCGGCGGGGCTCAGGCGGGCGGCGGCGGCTCCATCCCGGCCGGCTCCCGGCGCCCCTCGCCCGGCCGCCGCACGGCTCCCGTCGGGGGGCAGCGGCCACGGCGAGATCCTCTTGCATCCAACTGAGTCAATAGACGGCTGCAGCCTCCTCTGTTTGTTTTGGAAACTGGTGGGAGCATAAGAAACATTGAGTGACATTTCATGGGAGTAACGGGGGGGGTTAGAGGAGGGGAGAGCCACAGGGGTGGGGGGGAGAGGGGGAAGAGGAGCCGGCCCCGTCTAGGATCAATAAAAGAGTTACTGTTCTCCATTAAATTGTAAAACTCAAAGAAATTTGACATAATTGCACACTAGGGGCCACTTTTCCAACAAAAGTGCAAATAACGTTTAACCAGAACCAGCGCAAAAGGGAAAAAGAAAAAAAGGAAAAGAAAAGGGGGAAAAGAGAGAGAAAGGAGAAAGATTAACAGAAAATAAGGAGAAAAAGAAGAAAAGGGTAGAAAAAGAAACAAAAAGGCAGGAAAAGATAAATAAAAGGGGGGGGAAAGAAAAAGAGGGAAAGGGGGGATACAAGAGAAGGGCGCCGTGCCCCTCCTCCGGCCCGGCCGGGCTGCCCCACGGGCCGGTCACGCGTGGCCCCTGCGGTGTCCCCGGCACGACAAACCCGGTGCCACCCTGGGCTGTGACAGCGCCGGGCAGCAGTTCCGGCTTTGCGTCCTGTTTTTCCTTTGCTTTTTGTTTGTTTGGTTGTTTTTGGGGTGTTTTTTAAGGCAGCCCCGCCCGCTCCGCCACCACCCCCCCTCTCCCCGGCTCCGCTTCAAAGCGCGGCCCCGCCGCCCGCAGCAGCTGCGCTGAATTAGGGGCAGAAATCCCCGTTTTCCACCCGGAAAGTCCCGGGAAACTCCTGCGTGGCCGGCCAGGGCAAGGTCGGGGCCGGGGGGCTCCGGCCGGGACCCTCAGGTGCGCAGGGAAAGCGCTGCGCGGGGTCTGCGCGGCATTTCCAGCCCCGCTCCGGGGACCTCCCCGCGCTGCCCAGGCTGGAACCCCCGCGCTGATTTATTTTCCATGCGGGAATCCTCCCCAGAGCCGGCAGCACAGGGGATTCTGCGGCTCAGGTGGGTTTTGGGGAGGGGAGAGCGGTGTCCCCGCTGAGCAGGGGGGTGTCCAGCCCCCCTGGCCCTGCAGCCTCTCCTGCACCCGGGAGGTCAGCCGGGATAAATGAGCCTTAACGGGAAAAAAATGTGGAAAGGGATAAAATTCACAGGCCAGCTGAGAAAGCAGGTTGAGGAGCTGCCACAGGGCCCTGCGGCTTTGGGACAGGCAGCATTCCATGCTCTGCTTCCAGGTGCTCCAGGGTGGCAGGGAAGCCCTGGTACATCCAACTGTTTCACTTTGCAGGATTTCTTGCTCTGTCTGTTAAGAATTGCTGTCCTGGTGCACGCATTCCCAGGGTCTCAGCTGGCAGCAGGTTGTCTTTGTGAAGAGCATGGAATGGTTTGGGTGGGAAGGGACTTTAAATCTCATCTCAACCCATCTCTCTCCCTATCCCACGGGCAGGGACACCTTCCCCTACCCCAGGCTGCTCCAAGCCCCATCCAGCCTGGCCTTGGACACTTCCAGGGACCCGGGGGCAGCCACAGCCTCTCTGTGCCAGTATTTGTTCTCAGATGTGTATTTAAATTGTCCCAGACTCACATTTTTGTCCTAAAGTCCCCATCCCAAGGGCGCTCCTTACTCAGCTCAGGGTGGGCATTGCCCATTGATGTTAATATACATTTATAACTATCTATACCTTTTACATTTCCACACCAAACTCCTGGCATATCTCACTGGGATGGGGAATTGACCAGGGAAAAGATCTCAGAAGTGAAGGGGTGCAGATACAGCTGCCAAAAGCCCAAGCTCAACATCCAGCCTGGACACCTGGTTGGAAGCCACCTCCTTCTCCAGCTGCTGACCCCACTCCAGGCCAGCTCTGGTGTGGGCAACACCTGCAGCCTGAGTGGGGAGTGGAAAGTGGATATCCCAACTTCCCAAAGTCTGGTAACTGTAATCTGAATTATAGGTGGATTTGGCCTTGTGTTACTCCATCCTTCCATGGGGCTCCATCAGCAGTGGTCTCTGATGTGGTTTTGTTTCCTACAGGAATGTCCAGGTGCTCCTGCCTGATGCCTCTGTGGGACAATGCCCACCCTGCTGCCCATCCTCTGGAATGTCACTCCACAGGATAATGGCTCACTGTCCATGGCAGGAGGGCTGGAATGAGATGTTCGGTCAGGTGCCTTCAAACCCAAAGCCTTCTATGATCCCTTGTGGCAAGAAATGGAGAACCGGGCAGGGGAAAGAGATCTGGGGTTGCCTCTTGCTCCTGGGCAGGTTCAGCCCCACATCTGCAGATTTAATTCTTCTTACAAAGAGGAATTAATCAAATTTTATGAACATGTTCATAATTAGAAGAGCATAAGCTCATGGTTTCGAGGTGACCGGCGGGTCCTGGCCAGCGCTGATGGAAGCCAGCTGAGGGCATGGAGTGTGAACCTTTATCTCTGCTGACATGACATATTATTAAAAAGTATTTCGAGTAATCTTTGATTTCCTCAGCATTGCAACACGTTTCAAGAACTTGGCCGGGGATCAACTGAGCCTTTTTAATTTCCTACACTGAAAAATAAAACAAAAATCAAGCCCGATTGAGATGATATAATCAGGAACATTTTGAGGGTTTAGGTCAAATTAATGTGTCAGAGAAGGGTTTTCAGGGGGCTTGGGGAGCTTTAATCTGTCAAAGGCTGACTCAGAGCCTGCTTGGGCTTTGTAATCTTATTGTCTTTATGGAATTATGGGATGGAATGTCCTGAATTACCATCATCAGAGAGTCTAGCAAATAATCAGTTGGCATAAAGTTCAGAATAACTAAGTTAATTTTAAAGCAAGTGTTGCACAATATGACAGAAATGTTTGCTTAACTTGGAAATGATCTTTTAATACGGTCCCTTAATGTGTGAAAGCACTCAGGTAACCTCCAACCACAGCCTTGCCTGGCCACTTTTGGGGCAGATTTTAGGAGATGGAGCTCTTGTCAAGATGTGCTCGATTTTGCCAAGATTTGCTTTGCATTTACCAAAACAAAAGAAAAAACAAAACAACAAAGCAAACCAAACCTGCCTTTTGGCTTAGGTGATAATATTTTAATATCACCTGAACTCAATTATGCATCTAATGCTTATCTCTTTTATATCTCCACTCTCATGGATTTATATAGAGCTGCAATTATGAATTTGGTATGTGGACATATTTGGTTCTAATGGATAAATTCAAGGATTGTTCAGGCTAAACTCAAGGGTTGTTCATTCTTTGCTCCATGAATTATTAACAAGAAAATATTTATCCATTTAATATTTGGGAAAATCCTGGTTTGCAGCCCTCAGTCTCTGATCAGAGAGGTGCAGCCCCATTACTCAAAGGCTGGCTCTCAGGAGAGCCTCAGCCATTGCCTCTCCAGTGTTATTAAATGATGAGTAGTTGAGTTTACAACTGGGTGAGGTGGGACACACTCTGAGCAATATTTTGGGTGGTGCAGCTCCACTTCTGCTGCAGGGAGCAAAGCAGAGAATCCTGGGCTGCTCCCATGTCCCTGAGTGCTCTCCCCACCCCAGCCTCGGTGGCACCAGCTACATCCACCCTTTAAAACTCTTTCCTCTGCTGTAAAAAAGCATTTTAGGATTGATTTAACCCTTTTTGCATGAGCTGCTAACTTGTTACTCCTGGGCTTACCTTCAAGCTTCCTTTTTTCCTGGATTCCCAACCTTACTGCTACCAGTAAATAAAAATGGGAATTTTTTTTTAGATCCAAATCAATTTGCTTGTAAATCAAAGAATCCCAGAACAGTTTGGGTTGGAGGGGACCTCAAAGCCCATCCAGAGCCAGCTTCCACTAGCCCAGGGGGCTCCAGGCTCTGTCCTGACACTTCCAAGGATCCAGGGGCAGCCACAGCTGCTCTGGGCAACCAAAATCGAACATATAAATATGTAATAAATATAATTGAATATTTGCCAGGGGTACACCTGCACTGAGAAATGCAAATGAATATCCCGTATTCCATTGTGCAAATAATACCCTTTCCTTGGAGGGAAAAAAAAACCTTCGGGATGGGACTGTGCCACAAAGAGCTGCCATGACCCACCAGGGAAAGGGATGGGAGGTTTGTTATGGGAGGATGTAAGAGCTGGAATTAAACAGTTTCTAAATGCCCTGGAGAGGCTGCAATGGAGAGGTTGTGAGGCAGCTGAATGATCCTTCTGGGGGCTGGAAAAACACTGGGTTGGGTTCTACAGGAGCTGCAAGTGCCAATATTCAACTTGAATTTTTGTAAACGAAACCTCCATTTCACAGGAGTCATTAACTAATTAGTCATTAACAGATTAACAAATATTTCTTTTTCCTAAAAATCTTTCAAACAGAAACTGCTGAAGACTGAGGGATTCTTGGCAGAAAACACCCGTGGTAGTGTGAAACAGTGCTCAGGAGATTGTTTTCCCTGACATTCTCAAATATCCCGTTCCCCAGCACAGCTTTAATTTCATTCCATGATTATTTTGCCCCTCATGAACTTTGAAGAACCTCTGTTCTTCTGTGACTGTCTTCTCTCCATCCCTGCTGGGCTGTGGCACCTCTGGGCTGACTCCACCCAAACCAGGAGGTCATGGCAAGGTATCCTTGCCCACAGGACAATCCTGAATTTATTCCATGGCAAAAATGACAGATCTGAGCAAGAAATGAGCAGTTTTTGGTGGTGGCCAACCAGTGCTGAAGTTTCTTGGTTGACCTCCTAAAGAGGTCCTTCACCTCAGCGTGCACTGTATTAGTTAGAGATAAATTAAAATAAATCTCTTTTATGTTATTTTATACATAACCCCCCCAGAGAGTGCACAGGCAACAGGATTAAACCTTAAGGAAATTATTCAGTGAAGTGAAAACAATACAGACAGCATTTGGGGAGAGTTAAATCAAGATAAATTAAAATAAATCTCTGTTATGTTATTTTATACATAACCCCCCAGAGAGTGCACAGGGAACAGGATTAAACCTTAAGGAAATGATTCAGTGAAGT